ATAGAAGACGTCATATGGTACAGTTGAATATGTGTGTTGACTATAGATTTATGGTTGTCATAATATAAAATACAATTACCTAATGGTAAACTGAAATTAATCTTGATTTTCAAAATGAACTTTGTATAAGCAAAGCCAGCACTATAAAGGTCGTTTACCTAACCATTACCAATTATTGCAAATAGTTGTGAGCATTAAGGTATTATTAAACAAATACTAGCTGGTATGATAAAGTAGGTAAGTTTATTGAAAGTGGTTTGTGTTCATTGAATTGAAAAGATATTTTATTTTTAGTGCAGAAAGTCAATTGAAAGATGAAACAAGTGTATCCTTATTTGCTCTCTACTCTGGCTTATACCATAACAGCTTCCTATATTAAAAATCTTTCTGCTTATTCTAAGTTTCAACTATGTAAGTTGATAGACAGTTTCATATTCATTCTTTCTTAGTTCATACAATCGGACTCAATCCAGAATGATGATGCTATTGATATTCATACTTATTTTTCATTTTGAAGCTAGTGCTGCACCCTACATTAATGTACAAGACTTCAGGAATGGCATCTCATGATTGGACTTTATCTCCTTATTCCCAATGAGCCAGTTAGTTTGTCTCGCTAGCCAGACCATTCCCCAGCCTACAATCATTGGGCCCCAATGACTGTAGGCTGAGGAATGGTCTGGCTAGCGAAACTATACCAGTTAGTATAATACTATACTGTGTTCCTCAATGCTGAATTGTCATTGTAGATACTGAAAAGGTCACTAGATGGTAATGGGTTGATTCACAGTGGAGCCTTACTGAAAGAAACAATTCCCTTAATTGAGTTTCACATTACTAGAAGAGAAGGAAGTAAGAAAGCTGTAATTATATAGATCTATGAACTGTCATAATTAAACTTTATAATTTCTATTGTTTTATACTTAGATTCTACTTGGAGTTTAAATTTCCTTATTATTAGTAATCTAGAAGACCCTTCATCAAAAAGTCCAACTGAGCTCAAAGCCATGCCACTGTATGATATAAATCAGTTCCTGCATCAAAAAAGAACCTCATGAGGGGGTGGGCTCATAGAAAACCTACCAGATATTTTTATAGGCATTTATGAATTAATAATATCAAAAATAGCCTATGTATATAACTGTGTATAACATCTGTGAATCATAGATATTACACACAGTTCTGCAACT